ACTCTAGTTTGACTGTGTTCTATTGCTTGTGCTTCCATAATGTTGAATTCCAATATTGCATGATCACTTCCTCCCAGGGTTCCTATGGCTTCAACACCTTCTATCATTTCATCTCTGTTAGTGAGAATTAGATCCAAAATGGCTAATCCCCTAGTTCCCTTCTCTACTTTTTGGGAGACAAAGTTGTCTGCTAGGTTTGATCTTCCACTTGGTGCAGAGTTTTTCTCCCAGTTGATGTCAGGGTAGTTAAAGTCCCCCATTACTATTGTGATGTGCTTCCTACATACTTTAGTTAGCTGACTAGCAAAAAGTTCATCTATTTCCTGTGTTTGGCTGGGTGGCCTGTAGTATACACCTATGGCAATGTCATTTTTCCCCTTTTATATTGACCCAAATGCATCCAAGACAGTTGTTATCATTGTTGTGCTCTATTTCTGTAGAGATGTAGTTATTTCTTATATAGAGAGCAACTCCACCTCCTCTTTTATTTGGTCTGTTTCTTTTAAATAATTTAAATCCCTCTAGCTGTGTGTTCCATTTGTGGGTTTCATCCCACCATGTTTCCGTAATGGCAATAATATCATATCTGCCCTCATTAACCTGAATTTCTAGTTCACCCTGTTTGCTGTTCATTATTCTCTTTGCAATTGATCTCCTGAGAACATCACTTTCTTGACTTCTTATTTCTTATTAATTGTTCTCTATTATTTAAGTCAGATCTTAACAGAATAATGTAGCATTTGGGGAAGAAGATGCAGCTCAGTAAACCAGCACTGGAGCTAAGAATAGAGAAAATCTCCACAGCCACCATATATTTTCCCTTGGTGCTTAAATAGGTTGGAACAAAGGACAACCAAACACTGCAGAAGACCAGCATGCTGAAGGTGATGAACTTGGCTTCATTGAAGCTGTCAGGTAATTTCCTTGCTAGGAAGGCTATTGTGAAGCTGACCATGGCCAGGAAGCCCAGGAAGCCCAGGGCACAATAAAACATGCTAACTGACCCTTCATTACATTCAAGTACAATTTCTTTGGTCCTTGAATGCCTATCAAAATCTGGGAAGGGGGGAGAGGCTGATAACCACATGGTGCAAAGAGTGATTTGAATAAAAGTGCAGGAAAAAACAATAGAGTTAGCCAATTTCTTTCCCACCCATTTTCTCACCTTGGACCCTGGGTTGGTGGCCAGAAAGGCTAGAACCACTGTGATAGTTTTAGCAAGCACACAAGAAATAGCCACTGAAAAAATAATACTAAAAGAAGTTTGCCGAAGAAGACAAGAGATCTTCTGAGGTTGGCCAATGAATAGGAAAATGCAAAGAAAAGAGAGAAGGAGGGAAATGAGAAGAATGTATGTGAGGTTCTGATTGTTGGCTTTGACAATGGGAGTGTTCCTATACTTAATGAAAATTAGAAGCACCAACATTGTGATGAACAATAACCAAAGAACAAACACAGTTAAACTGATTCCCAAAGGTTCTTCATAGGATAAGAAAATCATATCTTTTGGGATACAGGAATCTTGGAAACTGTTTGGATGTTGATTTTCTGGACATTCAAAACAATTAGTCATATCTGAAAAAGAAAACATGGCTTTAGACATGAGACATTGAGCATTTATTTAGTTAGTTATTTTCTAAAGGATTTTGGATAATTCCAAACCTACAGATCAGCTTTTTACAGCTGAATAGTATTATGAAGATAAGCTATTACTAGAAATTTGGAACAAAGTGTTGTAATCTCCTTGGTTAGGAAAATCTGTCAACTTAAATCTGTTTGAAATTTTTGATAGTAGAAGAAACATTCTTTGGTGTCTGCTCCAAAGTTGCTTCATGTAGATTTAATATTCATAAGTCAATTAATACTGTGCTTAAAAATGGAGTAAGTTTTAAAGATGTTATAATGTTAAACAAGATGCAGGTAGTCCTCATCTTACAACTGTAATGGAGCCTGCCAATCATGGTCACAAGGTACGATAGTCATAAACCATTGATTTTTTGCAGCAGTCATTAAGTGAAGCTGAAGTCATTAAGTGAATGCCATGGTTGTTAAGCAAACAAATAGTTCACTATGGATGCAGTTTTGCCAAAATCCAGAAGTAAGTTTTGGCACAACTTTAATAATAATAATAATAATAATAATAATAATAATAATAATAATAATAATAATAATAATAATAATAATAATAATAATAATAATAATAATAATAATAATAATAATAATAATAATAATAAAGTTGGAAGGGACTTTGGAGGTCATCTAGTCCAACCCCATGCTCAGGCAGGAAACTCTATACCATTTCAGACAAATGGCTGTCCAATCTCTTCTTAAAAACTTCCAGTGTTGGAACATTCACAGCTTCTGGAGGAAGGTTGTTCCACTGATTAATTGTTCTATCAGAAAAAAATCTCCTTAGTTCTAGCTTGCTTCTCTCTTTGGTTAGTTTTCATCCGTTGCTTCTTGTCCTGCCTTCAGGTGCTTTGGAGAATAGCTTGACTCCCTCTTCTTTGTGGCAGCCCCTGAGATATTGGAACCCTGCTATCATGTCACCCCTCATCCTTCTCTTCATTAGACTAGACATTCCCAATTCCAGCAACCGTTCCTTATATGTTTTAGCCTCCAGTCCCCTGATCATATTTGTTGCTCTTCTCTGTACTCTTTCTAGTACATAAACTGTCATAAAACACAATTGTGTACTCATGGGATGCATGCAAATGGCCATAAATATGGCCATGTTGCCAAGCACTTGAAGTTCAGACATATGACCATGGTGAAGCCCTGACCATTGGAACCTTAGTTAGGTCCATCATAACTTTGAATGGATGCTAAGTGACCAGTCATAATAAGGACTTATGTATGACACATTTGGTACTGTGGATCTATTATGCCTGAACCATGGCAAAGGAGCTTGTTTTGTACCATAAATATTTAATCATTCTGAGGTCTCCCTGACTGTCTATAATTCCCAATCTGAAAAAAGATTAACAAAAGTAATCTAGAGATTGAAGAAAACTTTGGAAAGCTCTAGACCACTTGAGGAAGATTGCTCAGTAAAAGGTAGGACATTTCCACTCATTGCAGTGTAACTGGAGGAATGCCATCATTACTGGCATGTGAAAGTAGTATCAAATATCTTAAAAATTAAATATGGTTCTTTCCAGGTTCCATTGTGGACTTCAAAATTATAGATCACTAGTAATGTTGATCTTATCCTTCTTGCTACCCCAAAATGAGCCACAAATAATTAGGGAAAATAGAATTTGTAGCTGTTATTCTTTAAAAAAAAAACATTTCTATCCCACATTTCTTACCTTTCTGGTTTGAAATTTTTTCTGCTGGACATGGAAAACAATCATAACAGCAAAATGGCTGATCTTCTTTCTTTGCTTTAAAATGACCTAAAGAACAATAGTCATTACACAAAGACAAAGGCTGAATCTGTAAAAAAAGACAAATAAAAAAACCAGAGATATTTTGAATTCTGTCAATTAGTCTTATAGCTACAATTAAGAAATAGATTGACCTGACAAAGACAATATCATAAAGTTCATTCCTTACAAATTTGGAACTATACATGGGAAAAGACTTATCTTTGGATCAGCATCTGTCCCAAATGAAAGGTTGCAGCACAAGTCTTTAACCAATCAAATCTATGAATATGTCTTCATAAATCTGGTAGAGTCAAAGCCAACAAAACCATTAATAGAGTATTTTAAGCAAGAAATTTTGAAGTTCTCTTAAAAGATTATCAACATATTTAAGCATATAATATAGTAGATGAGAGAAGTATGTTGCATCCACAGATACTATCTTTACTAATTCACATGAAAGAGTATTGGGTAGAAGGACAAACACCAATTATCTTCAAAGCTTTAATATACAGTCAGAAATATGTCACTTAAATGGATTTTATTGTGTACAAATTTATTCATTTTTATTCATTCATTAAATTTATATGCTGCCCATTTCACAGTTAAAGATGACTTGAATTTGAAAAGTTTAGTTATTCTTTTAAAGTGCTTTATCTATTGGAGAAAACACAAGGAATAATGATAGAATTTGCATAAGGAGTGGTTTTGCACTTCAATCTGTTTGCTTAAGAAGATGGTGATGAATGATATTTCAGATATTGATAAATGTACTCAAGACCTACCTGATTGAATCTCTGAGGCCAGACAAGGGCATCTCCATGAATGGTGAACACATTTTCTGGAAAAGCCATGGGATCAATCTTTCCCACTTTAATTCTAACAAAAGACTGGTTGGGGAAGGTGATCCAATTGACAATATCAAAACCAGCTTCCAATTCCCCAGTTTGGTCACAGAAAACGTTTTCCCCAGCGTTGTTGTTAAATGACACTTGTCTTAAAAAGTAGTGTAACTGAGATGGAGAGACAACAAATGTATAAGATCATGGAAAATGATACATATGAACAATGCTCTTTTAAGTGATTTTTAAAAGCTTTCAAAAGGTTTAATCATAGTCTTTGGAAGAATAGTAGCAATGGTGGAAGGAATTAAATTAAAACAATTGGGATTATCATGGCAAAGAAGCAGAGATGCAGACTGGGAAAGAAAATAGAATAAAAAATTAATTTTGTAGCTTGACATATAGAAGTTTATTAATATGAATATTAAGTAATAAGAAAGAAATAGAAAGAAAATATCAAGGAAAACATCAAAATGTCACAGTCAGGTTCACTGCAGAATCCTATCTAGAGGAGGTTATGCAAATATTCCATTTGGAGTTTTCATTTAAAGATAATTTAATCAATCTTCAAACTGGATTATCAAATTGAATTGGATTTCTCTGCATCAAGTTGAAGGATTTGTACACGTTTTCCCTCAAACCTATTTAGAAATCTGCATTAAACTCAATTTGACAATTCAGTTGTCAAATCCCCATTACATCCTGTTGTCATAAGAAATCTGCTTATTTTTTTGAAATGATCTACACTGATTTTTTTAATGGAATCAGCGCAGTGAAACTAAAGTAAGTGATTTGCAAAAACCTAGTAGTAAAATGGTTCACACTTTCTGTCGAATGGGCAGGGCTATGGATGCTTTGGAGAGATAACCGAATGAAGAGAATATTCAGTGATATCATGAACTTGAACTGAATCTTTGAACTGATTCTATGCATCAAAGTGTATCTTGAGCCTTTTAATCAAGGATAAATATGCTAAACCTTCTAGCTTTGCAATATCTCAAAAATTGAAAAAGCTATCCTTCCACATATAAATAACGTTTCTCTGATGTTGTCATGAATAGTCAGTTAGTATGTTTTATCACTTCCATAAACCATGTCCATTGGAGTATTGTGGAAAATATCTTCCATAATTTTTAAGGTAAATTTTCTTGATGTGTGAGAGAAAGCAATTCACATATATCCTACTGATAAAGTACTGGGAAATGCCAGGATGACCACTGGTACAAAAAGGGAAGTGCTGAGAAAATAATGCTGTCTCTATATCTTAAAGCTATTTACACTTCATTCTGCCCAAAATGAGGGCAGCTGAAATTTTCTAATGTTTCTCATTACATTTTGTAGTTCACTATTGAATTGAATTGAATTGAATTGAATTGAATTGAATACTTTATCTGTGCAAGTGTGATTAGACACACAAGTAATTTGTCTTCGGTACAGAAGCTCCCAATGTACATGTAACAGAATAATAATAACAATCATAACAATAATAATACCAATAAAGGGGGGATTAAAGAAGATAATAAGAAGGATAAATAATAAGACATAGACATTAGACAGCACTATGAGAATTACAGTAGGTGTTCATCAGAGTGATGGGAAAAAACTGTCCTTGGCTCTAGTTGTTTTGGCATGCAAGGCCCTATAGCGCCATCCTGAGGGGAAGAGTTTAAACAGTTTAAGTCCAGGATGTGAGGGATCTGCAGATATCTTCTCAGCCCTTCTTCTAATCTGTACAATATACATGTTTTCTATGGAAGGCAGGCTGGTTGCAATTGTCTTGTTTCATTGTTTTATCAAACCAGACTGTTATAGTACAAATAGAATAGAATAGAGCTGGAAGAGACCTTGGAGATCTTCTAGTCCAGCCCCCTGCTTAAGCAGGAGAACTTATACCATTTCACACAAGGGACTAAATAGTCTCTTCTTAAAAATCTCCAGTGATGGAGCACCCATGATTTTGGAAGGCACTGGTTAATTGTCCTCACTGTTAGGAAGTTTCTCCTTAATTCCAGGTTGCTTCTCTCTTTGGTCAGTTTCCAACCATTGTTTCTTGTCTTGACCTCTGGTGCTTTGGAGAATAGTTTGATGCCCTCTTCTTTGTGGTAGCCTTCAAATACTGGAATACTGCTATCATGTCACTTCTGTTTCTTTTTTTCTTTAGACTAGCCAAACTCAAGTCCTGCAGCCCTTCTTCATATGTTTTAGTCTCCAGGCCTTTGATCATTTTAGTTGCTCTTCTCTGAACTTTTTCAAAGGTCCCAACATCTTTTTTGTAGTATAGTGACCAAAATTAGTTGCAGTATTCCAGGTGTGATCTTACTTTTATAAAGCGGTACTAATACTTCACATAATCTTGATTCTATGCCTCTGTTTATACAACCCAGGATTGTATTAGCTTTTTGGGGTGTTGCTGCACACTGCAAGCTCATAGTCAAATGATCGTCCACTAGGACTCCAAGGTCCCTCTCACAGTTGCTGTTTTTGAGCCAGATCTTGCCTAATCTGTACTTAAACCTTTGATTTTTCCTGCCTAAATGTAAAACTTTGTTTTTCTCCACATTAAAATTCATTTTGTGGATAGGGCCCATTGTTCAAGTTTGTCAAGATCTTTTTGGATCCTGAGCTTGTCTTCTGTGGTGTTGGCTATTCCTGCCAGTTTGGTATCATCTGCAAATTTGATGAGTTCCCCTTCTATTTTCTCACCTAAGTCATTTATGAAGATATTGAAGAGTACTAGGCCTAAGATGGAGCCTTGTGGTACCCCACTGCTTACTTCTCTCCATGTGGATGTAGTACCATTGAGGATTACTCACTAAGTATGGTTTGTCAGCCAGCTACAGATCCATCTAATGGGGTTATTGTCTATCCCACCTTTTTCTAGCTTACCAAGCAGCAGGTTGTGGTTTACTTTGTCAAATGCCTTACTGAAGTCTAAGTATATTATGTCCACAGTGTTTTGCTGGTCTACTAATTTAATCACTTAATCAAAGAATGAAATAAGATTGGTTTGGCATGATCTGATTTTGACAAACCCATGCTGGCTACTAGTTATAGCTTTGTTTGCTTCTAGTTGTTCTCAGATCTGTTTTTTGATTATTTTTTCCAAGATCTTCCCAGGTATTGATATTATACTGATTGGTCTGTTATTTTCTGGGTCTATTTTTTTTTCCTTTCTTGAAGATGGGAACCACATCAGCCCTTTTCCAGTCCTCAGGTACTTCCCCTGGGCTCCAGGATTTTTGAAAGATATAGTACAATGGTTCTAAGATAACATCTTCCAGCTCTTTCAGAACTCTGGGGGGGGGGGTTTTCCAGGTGATTTATATTTGTCAAGGTTGGATAGGTGTTCTCTTACCATTTTCTTGCTTATTTTAATTTTTGTTTCTAGTTTGTCTTTTGTAGTAGTTTTTTTGGTATGACAGATTCAATAATTCTTCTATCAAATTAAGCCATCAATTCATTAAAATAAAGATGTGCTCTCTTCAAATATCCATAGCAAGTTACAATCAAATTTTGCTGGCTTTTCAAATATTGAATTCAACATGATTTGCAAATCCTTTATAAGAGATACTGTGATAATACAAGATTAATGTGCCTAGAAAACTCTAATGTAATAAGATTGTCAGCTCAGTGCCTCACCTGCCAAATTTTTATATATGAAAGTTTCCATTTTTTCTTATCTGTGATTGTTTGATATTTAGATGTGGATGAAAGCATGTTGTGGAAAGCATGTGCTACAGCGTAGACTGTATTGTAGAGGTTGTAGCTTTGGCCAGTCATGCTTGTCTCAAAAACAGATCCAGGAAGCATTTCCAGGTTCTCCTTCCCAGTGCAGACTTCTCCATATTCATTAGAGCTGGAGAAAAAGCAATTAAACACATTTTCCCAGAAGTCTCTCACAAAGCCATCCTTTTTTTCTGCAATATGATTTCTGACTTTGAGAAATTTCTGGAAATCTAACATTTCCTGCCGATGAACTGCTAATGATAAAGAACCATGGATGAAACCTAGACCCCAATGTCTTTGAAAAGGAAGTGATGTGAATTCCATTTGGGCTGTCATAAGCCATACTTTGGATTCCATTTCTTGATCATCCATTTGGGGTAAAGCAATCAACACTCTCAAAGCTATCATAGTCTGCATTTCACCATATACAATGACCACATTGGAAGTACTTGTCAGAATGACTTTGGATATTGGAAACCAATCTAACAGTACCTCTGCACCATCCTTAGAACTGGATTTAATGCAACATCTTTCTATGAAGTCAAAGCAGATACCTCTCTGGGCATAAACGGGAAGTATGTTTTCTACAAATCTTTCTCCATTGTCATCATCAAGGGAAATGACTCCAACCCAGACCCAACTGAAATGAAGCAGCAATCTGAGAATTCCCATATCCTGATGTTTGACATTTGGGAACATTGGGTGAAAGAAATGAGCTGTTTCTTTGTTATTTATTAGTGGAGAAGAACCGTATATCATCTAAAGAATGAGATTCAAAAGGATAAGAAAAAATAGAGTTTTCTGTCTTGTGTCTTTCCCAAATCAACTGAACACTGATATTTATTGAAAAGACAAATTAAACAATAATCGACTGATTAAATTTTCTAATCATAGTTTTTAGTTCATGCTTTTTTCCTATATACAGTAGGTGAAGTTTTCCATTTTCCTCCCACCATTTTGTTTCTATATTTAGAAGCAACCCCCCAAAAACCCATTGTCTTCTTTTTCTTTTTCTTTTCCTCTTTCTCATTCTTGTTCTCTTTCTCCTTTTTATAATTTCAGGCTTCCACCTTAGCTCTTGAGATTGTTGCCTTTTTTATAAATACAGGATAATGTTCATACTTCATAATCATTGTAGACATATTACAATTAAGATAGTTATAGATAAATCTAATTTCCATTGATTTCAGTTAGTTTCAATTTGGATCACAAGCACTTTTTTTTAGTAATTGTACATGAAGGATTCAGGAACTTTCTACTCATAATATGATTACATATGGACTATTCAGTTTTGCAAAAGTTTTCAGTCATTTGAGCTCATATAAAGGATGTCAAGTGCAATCTCCAAAGTGTCTGAAATCTAAGAAACCACAAAATGTCATGTGATTTGATAAAACTCTCATTACTTTTTAAAGAATTGGTGATTCCATGAGTCCTTGTGGAATTCAGTTTGTGTGTCTCTATAGGCAGTTGTCTGACAGATGTTGTTGCACTCCACTTCTCTGTTAAGTGGAATACAATATATAATATATTTATATCATATCTTCATATTGTTTCTAGAAACTGGAAATATGGTTTTCAGCTTCATATTATTGAAAATATCATGGCCTTGGCATGCATGTAATATATAATGTGTCTCAGATCTTTAAATGCTATTTGGGTCATTTGTTAGCTTTTCTATAACCAGTGAAGTTTATCCTCTGAAACAGCTTCAGAAAGAAAATGTGGAAAAAAGAATATAGGTACCACATTTGAGCCCAAAATTTATGTTGCTAAATGAGACATTTGTTATGTGAGTTCTGCCCCATTTTACGATCTTTCTTGCCACAGTTGTTAAGTGAATTGCTCCAGTTGTTAAGTTAGTAAACACAGTTGTTAAACGAATCTGGTTTTCCCATTTATTTTGCCTGTCAGAAGGTCATAAATGGTGATCACATGAACCTGGGATGCTGAAACAATGATTAATATGAGTCAGTTGCCAACTGTCTGAATTTTGATCAAGTGACCCTGGGAATGCTGTCATGGTTGTAAGTGTGAAAAATGGTCATAAGTCATTTTTCTTTTTAGTGATGAAGTCTCTAAATGAACTGTTCTAAGTCAAGGATTACCTGTAGTTAAAAATCACTGGAGAAGGATTTATTTCGAGGACAGTTCACCTACGAAATTATAATAATAGACCCTGAAGGATTGAATGAATAAGACTTTCTTTCAATCTTGTGAAATGATTCCTGTTGAAGTGAGAATAGAATAGTCTTTGAGAAAGAAGTCTGAGTCTTTCAAAAACACTCATGAACAGTCTCCTGATCTTGTGTTTGAAAGCATGTAGACAATATGAAGTATTTTTTTTTAAAGTACTATGAGGAAATAGATTCTATCAACAGAAGAGAATATATGTGGCTTACAATTGAGTTATGGAGTCAGAAAAAGATCAATGCTGATTAAGAATATAACCTCACAGAATGGTGACATACTGACTAAAATGTCTGGTTTCAGGCTTGAGAAAAAGGTGAAATATTTGAGGGTTATGTTAACAAACACAAACACTAAATTGTTAAAAAAAATGTGACTCTCTGGAATGACATTAAAAAAGTTTTACTAAGATAAGATAAATTGCACTTATCACTACTGGGTAGAATCTCTGTATTTAAGATTAATGTTTTACCAAAGATGCTTTTCCTGTTTCAAACACTACCAATACTCACAACTGATATTCCATTTAAACAATGGCAGAGGGACATCTCAAAGTTCATTTGGTAGGGGGGGAAAGCAAGAATTAGATATAGACTATTGCAAGATGTTAAAGAAAGAGGGGATTTGGGTCTACCTGATTTGAAACTGTATTTTGATGCCTGCTGTTTGGTCTGGTTAAAAGAATGGGTGAACCTTCAGAATAAGAGGTTACTGGATTTAGAAGACCATGAATTAAGGTTTGGCTGGCACGGTTACCTGTGGTGAGATAAAGTTAAAGTAAATGTTGATTTCAACAATCATTTTGTTAGACGTGCCATTTTGAGAGTTTAGAATAAATATAAAACAAGGTTTTATACAAAGGTGCTGGTTTGGGTTTCTCCACAAGAAGCCTTTTTTATAAAAGAAATGGTGATGAGGCTCAATTGGTGGATTTATGGTAAAATAATATCTTTTAATTTGGGTAATCCTACCCTCTAATCCATGTCTGCCACTGGCTTACATAATTACAATTGAAAGAAATATTTAAATTAGACCCAAAAGAATCATGGGTTTAACTTTATTAAAAATGAATTGAAAATTCTATTGTGTGGTAGTGATGAAAATATTATTGCTAAAGTCTATGAAATGTGACTGAACTTAAATCTGGAAATTGAACAAATAAAAGTATTGTATGGTTCAGTGGGCAAGGAATTTTGGATATAATGTAATGCTTGAACAATGGGAGAATATGTGGAATAAAGATTTAAACTTTACATTAAATTACAATTTAAAAGAAAAATTTTACAAGATGAGGTATCATTGGTATTTAATGCCAGATAAGTTATCAAGAATGTATAAAGACATTTCAAATGAATGTTGAAAATGTAAATGTAAAGAAGGGACTTTTTGTCATTTATGGTGGACATGTGATAAAGCAAAGAAATATTGGAGTAGGATTCATATATTAATGCAGAAAATTCTTAAAGTGAATATAGAAAGAAAACCAGAGACTTTTCTCTTGGGATTAATGATGTGCTACCTGCACATTTCTTACCAGTGAGATTTTATAGATGAACAAAGTCGTGACCATGTCAAGGCAGGTCTTAGAATCTGGTCCCCCAATAACTGTGATTGTATTCCTTTTGGTGTCACACTTGAAGTTAGGGGTGAATCTGTCTTGTGAAGAGAGAAATTCCATTGAGGCAAGATAAGTCCACTGTGGTCTGAATTCATTATTGTAGATATCAAAGCCCAAGGTGATATTAGGCAAAATCCAGGGGGTTTCATTGATCTCCTTTATAGCAAACACTAATGCCAGGATTTGCTGATAGCTCTGAGTCAATACCCTATAAGGACAGTTAAACATGTTTTTGTATATTGATTTTAAAATATGTCCACCACATCAACTTTATCATAATTCAATATCATATTTGCAGAGTGATGGGATTAATAAACCCTCAATACATACATACATACATACATACATACATACATACATACATACATACATACATACATACATACATACATACATACACACATCTCAGCAGACAACTTTGTCTCCCAAAAAGTAGAGACGGGAACTAGGAGATTAGCCATATTGGATCTAATCCTTATTAACTGGATTTTTTGTTGTTGTTCTGTCTCTCACTGTTAAAATAAACCTAGCATTAAAATTATAGATGATCATTTCTTTGTCAATGGGCAAATGTACAAAATCAGCAGGGGATCAAATACTTTTTCCCCTCACTGTACATACATAGAAAGAAAAGGGAAGCACAGGGGATAATTACGTGACAATGATTTCAGCCATGGTTGAGTGAGTGAATGATTGAAATGATCACCAGAACCAATCTCCAGCTCATTTAATTTCTGTATAAAAAGTAGAATGCATATAACAATAATTAAATTAAATTAAATTAAATTAAATTAAATTATAAACAACCACATTTGTGGAGTTGCTAACAAACAATGAGCGTGGATGGGATTTTTTGTGCACTTACTGCAGTTGAATACTGTAGCTCAATATATCCATAGCAAACATATGAAAATGCAAGGGAAGAAATCTAATAGTCTTTCTTATATGTGAAGTTTCATGTACCTAAACTCCTAAGGGATGTACCCCTCATTCTTTCAGCTTTAAAAATCTTGTATACTCTTTCCTTCTATCTCTTTAGTGATTATGGTGAAAAGCCTGTTCTTTATGTTATAATTAAAATGAATCATAATTACAGTCTTTCGTTGGCTGGGTCATGAGATGGCTGTTTATGAAAAGTGGCTACTTTTGATTGTAAGATGCTTTGAGGAAGAATTCCCGCAATAATGAAGTCTCCTGGTTGATAAAACCTCTGAAGAAAATGAGTGGATTTGCTGATGGTGCTTTTAGCAGTAGTTGTGTAACTTGTCAATTGAGGGAATAGCACCAGAACAGATATTTTCAGCAGTAGCATCTTGCCCAAAGCCTTACTAGAACAACTTCTTTTCTCTAGTTGCCATTGGAGTTGGCATACTGTTATAAATGTATTAATTGACATGAATGATGTTGATTTTGATAGGAGACAAAAAAAAGAACAAGAATGGAAAGAACCCATATTTATCTGTTGAACCTTCTTCATTATAATGGAAAAAGGAATATTAATAACATGCTTCATCTTTAAAATACATTGTATGGGCAGCTCTGGGAATTCCTAGGGACACAAAGAAGAAATAGATATAATGATGGTTCATTTCACGTTCCAAGAGAGAATATTTTTCTGATCAATCAGTATGGAAAAAAACTCGTTTCAAAAAGATTGTGGTAGCTAATTAAAAAAATATAGCAGCTAATAGCATTAGTACCTTCTAATTGTTATTTCTTATATCCTTTATATATATTTTTACAATGCTGTGAATGAAATGTAAAAGCAGAATGCCTTAAATTAAGCTAAATTTATATGTGATTCTCACTATTTTCTTTTTACAATCATGTAATCCATTTTTATTGGGGTGGAGTCAGGGCAACTGAATGGAGCTGAGCATTTACTAGCTGGATGCCCTTTCTGATGTCTATGCAGAGTTCACAGCAGATATTTTCTCTTTGTTCCCTGATAGAGAAACATGTTTCACTGCCTAGGATTGAACTCTCAACCTTCTAACTGGGAGAGGTGAGCGTCTTCACCTCCAGGCCAATCTGCCACTCATCAAGCAACTCTTTAATTATTAAATTAAATACTAAACCAAGGGAGGGAGGGAGGGAGGGAGGGAGGGAGGAAGGAAGGATGTTTGGTTAATTTCTAATGCTCTCTGTCAGCTTCCCACAAGGAAACTCAATGGAGAAGCTATCAGGAAGTTGGAAGTAACCCCCCTCCTACTGATGTTTTGTTTACCCATGATCATTCTGTTTCTCTTTTTAGGTGAGAAAATATCCATAAAATGGTGACCCAATAGTTCATGGATTGTCCATGCTTTTATAATTCTACAGCAGGGGTGTCAAACTGCCGGCCCATGGGCTGGACGCATCATAGCAAAACCGCACCCACCCCATAGCAAAACTGCACCCACCCGCCGGCAATGGAAAAAAATATGTCGTGACACATCATGTGACGTTGCAAGTTTGACACTCCTGTTCTACAGTCTGTGGAGTCTGGTATAGGTTTCCCAATAGGTAATCATAATTTTTCTATTTCTAAGTGATATAACAATATGCTGAACTTGAGACAGAATACTTTTCTGATATCAAAGCAAGTTAGAGAAAGCATACAGAGCATGACTTTTTGAATTCTTTCTAGTACTTCACCATTAGTAGCTTAGGAAATCTACTAAATAAATTAATGTGTTGAATCTACGTGTGTTGATGTGTATAGGTGCACTGGAAAACCCAGGATGATCTGATGCCTCTCTTTTGGATGAAGTGGTAAGGCAGGAAGAGAAAGTGTTCTTAGGATTATTTAGTCACCAGCATCACAAGGCATTGCACAGCTACTGTACCTCTCACATAAGGGATCCATTGGGAAATATGTGTTGTATTTTTTTTCTCTCATTGACTAATCTAGCTTACTATTATGCTCAATCTTTCTTTTGCCAACTTTTCTTCTCATACTAAATTGTATTCAGTTTTTCCAGAATTATGAGTAGTGCCTAATCCCTTTAGGAAATTTATTTTTTCAAAATTGGGTTGAAGTGGAAAGGTCCTTCCTTCCTTCCTTCCTTCCTTCCTTCCTTCCTTCCTTCCTTCCTTCCTTCCTTCCTCCCTCCCTCCCTCCCTTCCTCCCTTCCCTCCCTCCCTCCCTCCCTTCCTTCTTTCCTTCCTTCATTCCTCCCTCCCTCCCTCCCTTCCTCCCTCCCTCTCTCCCTCCCTACTCTAATTTGGATTTACAAGCCTACTCAAAACATATTTTTGGCACCATACAATTAAACCCAATATGTATAATATTTAAACCCACTATAATATGTGCAATGTGCAATGACAACCTAGATGACACTTCATGTGACAGAAGAAAATGCAGATTTCAACCAAAGCAAACTGTAAACACCAATACCCAACCTACTGCTGAGGAGGAGCTGAAGATCTTTTGAGTCCTAATGGCATTAATTTACCTACTGTCAATTAAAACCTTTGGGATGCCTAGCTGCTAATGTTGCCAGGCAGAAAAAGAAAATCTGATATTGCAAAGAGAGAATCACAACAAAATTGGAATGTAAGAAGCATGAACATGAGAAAACTCAACATACTGAAGCAATTACAAATTGACATCTTACATCTCAGTGAAAAGAGATGGACTTGGATCCAACACTTTCAGTCAGAATTTCTTTGATACTCAGTATATGAAAAACTTAGGAGGCATGATGACTCAATGTTTGAAGATGCTGAAAAGCTGGCAGTCTGGGTGCGAGACCTAAGAGCCATGCAATGAGATGAGCTCCCTTTCCTTGCCCAAGTTCCAGTTTGAAAGCATGCAAATGTCAGTAGATTAATAGGTACCACTTCAGTGGGAAATTAACAGCATTCTATATGTCTTTGGTATATAGCCATGCTGGCCACATGACCACAGAAATTGTCTTTGGACAATGCTGGCTCTCTCAGTCAAGAAAAGGAGATGAGCACCATACCCTAGAGTCGGACACGACTGGACAATAAAACCTTTACCTTTCTTGAAAAACAAATGATGTTCCTTTTATAGTTAGTAAGGACACAGCAGAACAGTATTTGTCTACAATGCAATCATTGACAAGATCATGAGTAATTCATAAGACATGAAGAATATTATCAAAGATCTGTCCCTTTTTGCTTGATGACCACAATTTCAGATGCCATGTAAAACTAATTTTTAAGTACCTGGTTTTTGTATCCCTATCAAACCCAGAGGTTGGTTTAAATAAACACACATACTTTGCTTTTTATGTTTTATTTTGGAAAAGTCCCTTTTTCCTATGTTCTTCTGCCTTTCTCCATTAAGATCATATATAGATCAGCTCCACTGATGAATACTTATACAGCATTGTTTGTCAAATGGATGTTCTCAGATGAGATGAGATCCACCAATAAATAAATACAGCACATGGAATGTCTGAAATTGTACAGGGTTTCTTGCTTGATCAAGCAGTTGGACTAGAAGACTTCCAAGGTCCCTTCCAACTCTCTTATTCTGTTATTCTTTTATATTCTTTGATACATGAAAAACAAAGAAGAAATTGTGTTTTTTAATAGTTAGCAAGAGTATAACCCCTTTATGGATTACTGCCTTGTCATGGCGAAGGGGCTTGCGTAACTCAATGAAGCTATGAGCTATACCATGCAGGGCCACCCAAGACAGACAGGTCATAGCAGAGAGTTCTGACAAAATGTGATCCACTGGAGAAGGAAATGGCAAACCACTCCAGTATCTTTGTCATGAAAACCCCATGGACAGTACTAAAAGGTAAAAAGATATGACGCTGGAAGATGAGCCCCTCAGGTCGGAAGGTGTCCAATATGCTACTGGGGAAGAGCAGAGGACTAGTACTAGCAGTGCCAGAAAGAATGAAGCGACTGGGCCAAAGCCGAAAGGACGCTCAGCTGTGGATATATCTGGTGGCGAAAGGAAAGTCCGATGCTGTAAAGATCTTTTCTCCATAGGAATGTAAGATCCATGAATCAAGGCAAGCTAGACGTAGTCAAACAAGAGATGACAAGACTGAACATCGACATCTTAGGAATCAGCAAATTAAAATGGACAGGAATGGGTGAATTTAACTCAGATGACCATCAGGTATACTACTGTGGGCAAGAATCCCTCAGAAGAAATGGAGTAGCCTTCATAGTCTTGAAGAGATCCTTAAGAAGCCTTCCCTGGACCCAGATGTATTGGCTAACTATCGCCCGGTCTCCAACTTTCGCTTTGTGGCGAAGGTTGTTGAGAGTGTGGTTGCGCAGCAATTCCCCCGGCGCCTGGAGGAAACAGTCTATCTGGACCCGCTCCAGTCGGGCTTCAGGCCAGGGTACAGCACGGAAACGGCATTGGTCACACTGGTAAATGATCTCTGGAGGGCCCGGGACAGGGGCTATTCCTCTGTCCTAGTTCTTTTGGACCTNTCTCCAACCTTCGCTTTGTGGCGAAGGTTGTTGAGAGTGTGGTTGCGCAGCAATTCCCCCGGCGCCTGGAGGAAACAGTCTATCTGGACCCGCTCCAGTCGGGCTTCAGGCCAGGGTACAGCACGGAAACGGCATTGGTCACACTGGTAAATGATCTCTGGAGGGCCCGGGACAGGGGCTACTCCTCTGTCCTAGTTCTTTTGGACCTCTCAGCGGCTTTTGATACCGTGGACCACGGTATCTTGCTGCGGCACCTGGTGGAG